GGCCCTGTAGTGGAGGGGCCCTGGAAAAATTGCTTGTATGGAGGCTGAGAGAAGGCCAATTATCCTCGCGAGTTGTCACAAAGTCAAGACCAGTCATGTCAACGTCCGCCGGATTTCCTTCTTAATGAGTTTCACTTTGAGCATCCCGTGAATTGCATCTATGTTGAATCCTAAAAGCTCCATGGTGTAGGAAGGATGCAGGATTGACTTGTCCCAGTTGATTAAGAAACCTAGATTTTGAAGGAGGGACAGCGCCCAGGAGAGATGTTGACTCAGTAGTTGGGCATCGTGGGCCATGATCAGCATGTCATCGAGATATATGATCATAAGGACTCCTCAGCTGCATAGAAGGGCAACCACCCACTCCAGCTCCTTCAAGTTGGATGGTTTGTGCTTGTGAACAGCAATCTTTAAGTCTGACCACAGATTTTCTATTGGATTGAGGTCTGGGCTTTGACTAGGCCATTCCAACACATTTACATGTTTCCCCTAAAACCACTCAAGTGTTGCTTTAGCAGTGTGTTTGGGATCATTTTCCTGCTGGAAGGTGAACCTCTGTCCTAACCTCAAATCATGCACAGAGTGGTACAGGTTTTGCTCAAGAATATCCCTGTATTTAGCACCATCCATCTTTCCCTCAACTCTGACCAGTTTCCCAGTCCTGGCTGCTGAAAAACATCCCCACAGCATGATGCTGCCACCACCATGTTTTACTGTGGGGATGGTGTTCTTTGGGTAATGTGATGTGTTGGGTTTGCGCCAGACATAGCATGTCTGGTTCAATTTTAGTCTCATCAGACCAGAGCACCTTCTTCCATACATTTTGGGAGTCTCCCACATGCATTTTCACAAACTCAAAACGTGCCATTTTGTTTTTTTCTGAAAGTATTGGCTTTCTTCTGGCCACTCTGCCATAAAGCCCAACTCTATGGAGCGTACAGCTTATTGTCATCCTATGTACAGATACTCCAGTCTCTGCTGTGGAACTCTGCAGCTCCTCCAGCATTTCCTTAGGTCTCTGTGCTGCCTCTCTGATTAATGCTCTCCTTGCCCTGTCCGTGAGTTTTGGTGGGCGGCCGTCTCTTGGCAGGTTTGCTGTTGTGCCATGTTCTTTCCATTTGGTTATGATAGATTTGATGGTGCTCCTGGGAATCATCAAAGATTTGGATATTTTTTTTTAACCTAACCCTGACTTGTACTTTTCAACAACATTGTCCCTTACTTGTTGTTCCTTGGTTTTCATGGCAGTGTTTGGTTAGAGGTGCCTCTTGCTTAGGTGTTGCAGCCTCTGGGGCCTTTCAAAAAAGGTGTGTATATGTAATGACAGATCATGTGACACCTAGATTGCACACTGGTGGACATCATTGTAGCGGAACACTGGTCTCTCACAGACTATTTCCGCTGGTAATCCTAGTGTGGCTCAGGAACAAGTAGTTAACCCAGGAGAAACCTGCACAGTAATAAATAAAATAATCCAGTAGCAGGCACGATCAGTAAGACAATCCAATAATATCCCATCACCTTTTCCCAATAACTGGACGTCACAGTATCAGGAGCAGAACTGATGTTTTATTCCATGTAACCTGTTTTTAATCATTTCTCCCATGCAAGGGAGACACCCACAGACAATTATGCATTAGCCAATCAAACAACGGTTACATCCCACATATTCCCTCCCCTCTGCTTGGGAGATAATTGAGTTACTGTATCTACTCAATTATCTCCCAAGCTGAAAACTCATACTTTTTATACATTTTTTTTAACTCCCTGATTTGACATCACATACAAATAAAACTTCTGTGATCAGCATAACTTGGGGAGCAACATATGTAAAAATAACATGAATCCGTCCAGGGGTTAAAAAGTTAGGTGGAGGTCCCTTTATGACCAACCGTAAGCACATTTTCCTGCCCAAAACAGTTCCATAGATTTGGGCTGTGCGGTCAGTCAATTTCTCACTGAAAATGGCCCATTCAAACAAGCATTTGAATCTTCGAATGGGACTTAGTCTCCAGCCACAGTGTCGAAGTGGAGGAGACTGACCGCGTTTAAATGAATCAAAATGACTGCCACCACGTGTTCGGTTTTCGAATGGTGGCCACTTTGACTACTTCGGCACTTTGGCCTTTTATGGGTTTCATAACCAAGGGAAGTGAATACATACGCAAATGCCAATTTTCTGTTTTCTATTTCTAAAAAAATAGTTTTATGTATACATTTTTCTCATTTCACTTTACCAACTTAGATTATTGTGTTCTGATCCTTCACATAAAATTCAGATTAATAAAACATTAAACTTAAGGCTGTAATATAACAAAATAGGTAAAAAGTCAAGGGGGTGAATACTTTTCCAAGACACTGTATGACAGAGAAAGTGTGTGTCTTGGTTAATGTAGCGGAGAGGCAGTATAATCCACGATATCTCCGGTGGGTAACAGGAACAACAAAGGATAATCCAGGGAAATCAGCATGCAGTAATCCAAGTAGCACTGTAGTAACCCTTCCTTCCCAAGAACTAGACGACACATAGGCTGGGAGTCAACTGAGGTCTTTATTTCAGCTCCACAATTTATACAAGTCCCCATGCAAGGGGTTTCCTGAGTCCCCTCCCAGGGGCATTCCCAGAGGGGACTACATGGGGGACTTATTGTACAGGACATTTCTCCCATCAGGCACTGCTGCATGAGAGGGATCCTCCCACAGGAATGTACCGTTAAGTGGATTATCCCTCCGTGCAGCAGAACCTACAATTTATATTAAAATGTATAACTCTTTAAATATACGGTCTATTTAAACGAATGGACGTTCGGTAGATAGCTGGGGTCTGAGCGCATCATTCGTGAGATTACCGCTTAGATCCCAGCTAAAACAACCGAACGGCGCACGAAAAACACATTCATTAAAACATATCTTCAAAAGACCGATTGCATGTAAGGGAACAGGATACCGAACGGCCCGGACCTCCCGAACGGCCTGGAAGCTCAGCGGTGTTCGTGCCGTCGAGTAGCCGTTTTTAGTACCATGCGCTCGACGACCAAACACCGCTGAGGGAACAAAGGATCCAAGATGGCCGACCGCCGCATGGTCGGTAGTCGAACGACGGCCACCTTGGAGAGCCTCTAATTACCGATTGCAACATTGTTGCAATCGGTTAATAGGTGCCACACGTCTCTAAGTGTGTGGGCTATTAAATGATGGTTCATTCGGTTCACGAATGGCCCGCAAAGGTGCCGTTCATGAAACGAAAGGAAATCAGCTATCTGCTTTCGGCAGATAGCCAGTGCAGGAGATACAGTTATACAATTGCATTACATTACACGCTGGAATGTACACACATAACCCGAAAAACATACAGGCAACCCTTAAAGCGACAGCACTTACATAATGTCCAAGTGGCTAGGTTTGCCACAGTTAATAACTCACAATAAAGCTGATGGCCATAGGAGGATCCCCTGGCTCCATGGGGTTGCCACGCCCTGCCTCTGGTCAAGAAGAAAGGTGACGGTACCCTGGCTTCTGGAGGTTGGTATCTATTTGTAGCAGAACCCCGATAGCCCGGGAAGAGTGGCCGGACAGACGGCACCGATGTCTGCCGGCCCCATTGAAAACCTTCTGAGAGAACACAGGTTTTATGTTCGTTTGTGCTTTGTCTAGTGCCATGAAGTTACTGACATATTTGCCCAGGTCTTTAACAAAATCATCTCTGAACAGGAGACCTTTTGCTTGTGTGCTAGGCTCAGATATTGCCAGATTAAGGAGTTTTGGCTCAGTTTTCATGAGGATGGTTGTAACGGCACCCCAGGCATAAAAGGGGTTAACAGCCATTTAGGAGATATTCCCTTCCAGATATGCAGGCAGCTACTGTAGATACCAATCCACCAAACCAGAGAAGCGTACGAATGTTCTCAAACATACGAATGCTGTAAACAGGAAACACCATACGAATAGGTTTTCACTCCTAGCAGTCGAACTGGAACAGCATACAATAAATCCCCCCAAGAAGTAGACAAAGCTCCATGTTGAGGGTCAAGCAGTGAACAGACAGAGCTGTGGGTTTATTGTTCTTATATACACATTCTTACAAATTAGTACCACCCACAGGGTTTTGTAAAACAACCAATAAACGCGTACAATACACTCAGACACTCCCACACAAAATCCTCCCCTCTGCCTGTGATACAATTACCTTGCACAATGGGTTAATGTAATTATCACAGGCAGAGAAATACAGTTTTTCCACATTATTCATAACTTTAAAAGTATGCATCACATTCACATAAATACTCCAAATACAAACATACGTCAAAATCATACAAATTGGTCCAGTGGGTCAAAAGTTAGATTAAAGTCCTTTGTGACCAAATGAAGCATGGCTTTTCTGCCTAAAACCAGTTCCACAGAGTCTTCTATCCTGGAGATAATTGGGAAGTAATCCAATTATCTCCAAGGACAGAGGCAAAACTCCATTGAACACATGGTAGCAAAAGACAATAAAATACATAAAAATATATAACTGTGCAGCTATTGCATAAAACAGGTACATATGCCCAGATAGCTTAGATCTGAGCTCACATTAATACTGAATGGCGCTCAGATCACATACATACAGTTCAATTGCCATGGAGTCAAAGTCTTTCACATAGTCTTTCATTATACGAATGGGCTCCATGGCATAGCTATCTGGGGTATCACTGTTTAAATAGGGCAAGTACCGAATGACCCGGCTTTCGTGTCTTTGCAGGGGAAAATCAAGCGTTTCATCATGGGGCCATAGTCTAAAGGCAGCAGGCGGGCAACCAGGCTCCTCCAATGCACAGTGGCGAGATTGGTCTCGTTACAATGGTTTTATGCCGTTCGGTGGCCCACGCGGTGTTAGCGTTGCCTTTCAAGCATATGGAATGTTGGATCCATTCTCTGATGGCCAAAAGGTCTATTGGTGCCCCCCTCGGACAAGGTTGCTTCGACCATGTCGAAGATCTTGGCTACAGGCCCTAACACGTCTAAGACTTTGTCCTGACAGTGTCGCAAGGAATAGTCCAATCCCTTTTTGGCCTGTCAACCAGGTTTTCCCAGGAATTGGCCGATCTTAGGATCCATGTCTGGTGTAACACAGGCCATGTCAGGGACCATAGGGCGTGGGCACTCCGCTCTAAATTATTTCTCGTGGCCTTATCTAGGGGTTTTCTAACTCTAGTTGCAATGTATTTGGCCACATGGTCAGTGGGGTACCATTCACCTGAACGATGTTTATGCAGGGCATCAGGGTCAAAAAGGGGTTCCCCTTGAGGGTCTAAGATAGCGGAGTTGACCGCCTCCTGCTTAGCTTCGATAGCTGGCGTCGCAGTCACACTGCATTCAGGAGATGAGTCCTCAGAGTAAACTGGGTCGATCGCATCGGACACGTCAGAAACCTCCTTTGAGTCCGATTCAGTCAGGGCTTTAGCCCTCTTCCAAGTACGCACTGCTTTTGCCCGGTAGGTGGCTCTTTTACGTGGGAGCACCACGTCCTCAGTATCAACAGGGTGCAACCTGTCTGTAAAAGCATTTTGGGAGATATTTTTACCCACATAATGAGATTTTTTTCATTGCCTAAGGGCCGCTATGGACCATTGGCTTATTATCAGAGGCCGAAGGGAGTGCCGGGCCATAGGCATGGTTAGACGCTATGATAGCCGTAGAGATGGAGTAGGACAAGCTATCTGAACTCACTCCAGTGGCAGTGTAAATGGCTTGGGAAACTGATTTGCTCATTGCAACAGATCCATCTGTATAGACTGGGATTGCTGGTTCGTCTGTTTTGCCTTTTCGTGGAATTACCCGTTCGTATGCCTCTGTTCGTATAATTGAAATTTTTTGCCGAACAAAACTACCGAACGGACGGCCACCCAGACGAGAAGTGTGCTGCTGGTTAACCTCTAGATCCCAATTAGAACGTTGTGGTTAACCGCAGACACTTCTCAATTAAAACCGAATGCAGGGTGGTCATCGTTCGTATGTCGACCACGAGGCGGCGACAAATTTTAAACAAGTGAAAGACCAGCGGTGTTCGGCCCAGATTCTATTGAACTGAAACCAGACACTTTTTCCGCCGAACACCGCTGAAGCCGCCGACCTCCCTTCTCAATCGACAGAAGTACACGAACACCGGCCGTTTGGGAGTCTATAAAGACTTCTGATTCAGTTGAGACGTTGCCTGCTTGCTGTGAGATACTAATCAAGAGTTAAATTCTATTCTAGGGATAAACATACCTCAAGTAATTAGGTAGCCATTTTCAGATCGCTGTCAGTCAGTAACAGGAGTTAATTTCATCTCTAGAGTACTAGATGTGAGTTTAGGCCATATGATTGCTTCAGTAAATATATAGAATATCGAAATATAGATTAGTTTTACTGCTTATCCTGGTTTTTCCTCTATTGGTTACTTCTTCTTACTTGATCTGTGCACAAAATAGTGGGAAAATGTTCCTATCATGTACTGTGTAATATATATACAGTATTTAATATTTATACAAATGTTCATATTTTGCATATTTTTTTTTTCATTTGACAATTTTTATTGTTTTGTGCGGGTAAGGGTACAGAAAAGAAGAGGGGGGAAGGGTGAACAGATTTCATCAATGCATATTAACAACTCTCATACAGTTGGCAATGAATATTCAGATAACAGCGTCCTGCACCTGCCGTGGGTCAGAATGATATGGTTGTGCTCACGACACGATCCCGTACGGGAGCTAACATAATAGGTCCAATCCTCGCTCTCTAGTCCCACACCCCTATGCGCCGCTTCCCACTGATTTGTGAGGCGCATCTACTCTTATGCATCATGGACATACAGTATCATTGGTAAGTTCCTCTATCCCCCGATCTCCATGAGTTCCACATCTCCCACGCTGCTTGAGCGGTGTTAGTTGGGGGGAACAGCCCGTTTCAAACGAACTTTGTGTGTCTAGGTCCTCAATGACCCGCTGCATACCAGGGGCGGCTGTTTGTTTCCAGTGTTGAGCGATTAAGCGCTGTGCTGTTAAGATTATATGTAACAGGAGTTTTTGTGTGGCCCTGGGCAGTCCTTTCGGGAGGTCAGTTATCAACATCTGACGGGGCGCAAAAGGGATAGAGCAGCCAGTTGCCGCTTGTGCAATTTTATGGACACCCGCCCAGAAGGTCTGGATGCGGGGGCACGACCACCAGATGTGCAGGACAGTGCCCTCAGCCCCATTGCAGTGCCAGCACATGTTGGAAGTATTAGGGAATAGTTTGTGCAGCCTGCGGTCGGTCCATTTTTGACCAACATTGTCCTCTGTACACAAATCTATTGGACACCATGAGACACCATTAAGTTGGCTTTGCTATGGCTCAGTTTTTTTGTGCTTTGATCAGTTTGGGGCATTCACATGTACATTAAATGTCCTTAGAAATATCCCTGATTTGTTAGACCCAGAGCATATTATTATTATTATTATTATTATTATTATTATTGCCATTTATATAGCACCAACAGATTCCGTAGCGCTTTACAATATTATGAGAGGGGGGATTTAACTATAAATAGGACAATTACAAGAAAACGATAGGTTGAAGAGGACCCTGCTCAAACGAGCTTACAGTCTATAGGAGGTGGGGTATAAGACACGTTAGGACAGGAAATATCACTCAAATAGGGTCGGAGTGAAGCATAGCTGGAGGAGAGGGTAGAGAGAGCAAGAGACAAGTATGTAAGTTAGAGGTTACTCTGGGAGGCCATAAGCTTTCCTGAAGAGATGGGTTTTAAAACACTTCTTAAATGATTGAACACTAGGGGAGAGTCTGATGGCGGTAGGCAGGCTATTCCATAGGAAAGGAGACACCCGCGAGAGGTCCTGCAAGCGCGAGTTGGCTGTACGGGTGCGAGCAGCGGTCAGGAGGTGGTCACAGGCAGATCGGAGGGAATGAGGAGGGGCATACCTATGGATCATTGAGGAGATATAAGAGGGGCTAGAATTGTTCAGTGCTTTAAATGTATGGGTTAGCACTTTGAATTGACTCCTATAGGATACAGGGAGCCAATGTAAGGACTGGAAAATCAGTCTAGCTGCAGCATTCATTACAGACTGTAGCGGTGAAATCAGGAGAGGGTTACAATAATCCATGCGGGAAATTACTAGAGCATGGACAAGCTCTTTGGTCGCATCTTGCATAAGAAAGGGGCGGATGCAGGCTATGTTTTTGAGTTGGAACCTACAGGATTTGGCAACAAACTGGATGTGAGGCCAGAGTCAAGTATGACGCCAAGACAGCGTGCTTGCAAGGATGGACTTATGTGGATATCACTGACTTGAAGGGAGAGCGAAAGAGGAGGATCAGTATTAGGAGGAGGAAAGACAAGGAGCTCAGTTTTAGAGAGATTGAGTTTCAGAAAGCGTGAGGACACCCAGTCAGAGATGGAAGAAAGGCAACCAGTGACACTATAATGCTTCAATGTTTTCAAACAAGATTTGAATGGATTTAGTAGGGTGAAATAAATAAGAAAACAGAAACACTAACTAGATAATGCAAAAGTAGATCCATCCTGATAAAATGTGTTTTCAATAATGAGTTTAAAAACAGATTTATATTTAATAAAAAAAGTTTGACCCCATGAATAGAGAGCAAAAAACGGGTCGCAAGAGTATTCCGAGAACGGACAGCAGCTAAAATAGCCTGCCCTTCGGTGGGTCCCCATGAATACAATCTACATAAAAATCAATGTACCCACTCCTGTTGGTATAGAACTGCCCTTTATTCATAACTGCCACCATGTAGGTATGTGGATTCACGGCCGATGTTTCTGGAGGCGATAACGCGTACTCGCTCAATTGTTCAGCCCAGCTTAAGGCATGCTAACAGCGTATACTAGAAAGTGATAATGTTAGCTCTGCTTGAACTAACTCACTCTACAGAACTAAGCATGTGTACAACATCCTATTCAGATTTCTCTACTAGTCATTATAGCAAATAGCATTATATCAGACCACTGTGCATCTCAAAACCATTGCTCCTTCCATAGAGAGCTCACTACAAATACAAGGGGCAATATATCTTTAAAAAAGTCCCAAAACAGCCTGACATAATTCCCAACATAACATGTTTTATTTTTTATTTTTTTAAATCACATGAATTATTTCAGTAAAATGTGTTTATTTTTTTACAAAGAAGATGTGATTGTTCCCATCTAGTTTATTATACTTAACGCACGTATTACATTTAAATATTATAATAAAATCATGCTAGTGTCTCACTTACCGCATTGTCTGCATTTCTTAATGTTTCTAAGTGTCGTAAAGGTTCCACCTTTCAGGTGCTTTAATTCTGAGCTTGACACCTGGATATTTATTTGAGGTTGGACTGCTGTACTTTAAGCCGAAAGGAAAATAGATTGGGCTCAATTCCAAGAGCATGGCTTCGCATCCAGTTGTTATATAAACACTCGCAGTTCACGCTTCCAGTTTCCGACACCCTATTATATGTGACAGATCCAATTCATCTGTTCCCTGACTCAGTATATCTCATTCCTGCTTTCCCCGAACGCCTTGTCTGCAGCCAACCTGGCCACACAGCGAACAGGGATGTTTTAACGCCCTTACCCACAATCCCTAGTCAGTGGCAGATTTACCTTAACACGTTGATTTACATTCCTTTCATACATTTAAATAACCAAAATCTCTGTCTGCCGAAAAACTGCCATGGTTAGTATTTCAGCATCGTTTTATCCACCTTCCATTTGTACAGAGAAATATCTGCAGTCTTTTTCTGCAGCCAATTGATCCCATCGGAGACAGGCTCATCCTCACCTGTAGTGACTGTCTAGCAGCCACAGTGAACCACTTATTCCCTCTTTACCCACAAATACCTAACATCTGTGTCCTTCTCATTTCGATTTCTTACTCACAGTCAGGGTTGGACTGGGATTAACCAGCTGCCCTGCTACCCTACTGTGGCTACAAAGGTCTGTGATTATCAGTAAGTTCACCATCGTGGCGGATATATCTTGTTTGGATTTTGAATGGATGGACTGTGTGGCTGCCTTTCATGTCACATGGTAAACACACAGACCCACTCGGAGTCACATGGTAAATACAAAAACCCACTCGGAGTCACATGGTAAACACACAGATACACTCGGAGTCACATGGTAAATACACAGACCCACTCGGAGTTACATGGTAAACACACAGCCCCACTCGGAGTCACATGGTAAATACACAGACCCACTCTGAGTCACATGGTAAATACACAGACCCACTCAGAGTCACATGGTAAATACAAAAACCCACTCTGAGTCACATGGTAAATACACAGACCCACTCGGAGTCACATGGTAAATACACAGACCCACTCTGAGTCACATGGTAAACACACAGACCCACTCGGAGTCACATGGTAAATACAAAACCCCACTCGGAGTCACATGGTAAACACACAGACACACTCGGAGTCACATGGTAAATACACAGACCCACTCGGAGTCACATGGTAAATACACAGACCCACTCGGAGTCACATGGTAAATATACAGAC